AAATTTCTCAAAACACACCAATACTGAGATGATTTCTCCTGTAACAGAATGAACACAGCATCAGATACATAATTTACCCTTAAATAGAACAACTTTATTCAACCAAACCCAAGATTATTCCAAAACTATTCCTTAGGATTGGCTTCTATAATTATTTTTGCTATTTTTCCTCTCCAAAATCCCTTACATATTGCTTAGAAAAAAAGTCTTCTCTCTGAAATTTTAATTTAAAAAGCATTTTGTTGGAAAAACAGAAGGTAAGACTCCAATTCTTCTTAATCATCCTTTACTATTTCTCCAACAAAACTGGATGGAATAGTGAGAAGTGACACCAATACTTTGCTCAACTTTATAAAAATGAGAATCAAGAAGTGCAATTTCCAAGGAACCTAGACGACGGTGACATTAACGGACACATCAGGAGCTGGGCGTGACTAACAAGGCAGAGTTTTAAGACTGTGGTCTTCAGTCTTGCTGCAATTCTACCCTGCACTGCACCCTAAGCCTAGCAAAACAATTTAAAGTTCTCTCTATTTCAGTAAAGTTGAAATAATTTTAGTTTGAAGATTTTGGTTCAGGGGCCTACAGGCTCAATCCCCCTGACAGCAAGCGAACCAGCGTGAACCGCGTTATTACACAGCTGGCTGAAGAGGATGAGCGTGTCCTTGAGTGTGTAAGGAGCTTGTACTGAAGAACAGGCCACAATCCCAGGGCTGTATTTTGAAAGCATCATCATCTTTTACTTTATAGAAAAGTTAACGTTGCCAGCCAAAAGTCTCTTCCAAGTTAACAAGACACGTTTGTGGATGGCTTTCAAGATCCAAATAACCTAGTGGATGCAACAGGGGAAAAAAAAAAAAATAGTAGATGAGAACAGGGTACAACGGTTAACAGCCATGCCAACGGCATTCCAACCCGGAGCACTCGTGCACATCTGGAGATCAGTTTTGCTCCCCCCATACATCAGGCCATACAGCTACAGACATGAAAGGAAAGCAGCCTGTGCTCGCCTGTCTATCAGAACCAAGACCTGTTTCCAGAGACTATTCCCAAAGCTGATTCCATTCTATTACTTGGTGGGGTCCCCCTCAAATGAAAGACACCCCCCGAGTTGAACTGAAACGCTGACCCAAACGATGCTTTATGTCAGCAACCCCCAACAAGGAACACTCCGTCTACGGCTAATGATGCGCTGCTGGCAGAGAAGCTTTTCGTGCACTACAGGTGCCCACATGAGCAAAGAACTGTGAGGTCAACCACCATCTCTTTGGAGATTGATATAAACCAGTGAAAAGAAAAGGAATTATGGAATGATAGAGCGGGAAAGAAAGAGATCTGAAAATAAATACACATGCAAGAAAAACCCCAACACATACAGCTTCCTATAAGCGACAAGATGCTGCACAGGGTTACTTACACAATCATGCAGAACATCATGAAGACATTCCACAAGGCAATGAAGATTCGAAAATATCTGAGACTCAGCAAAAACTCTCTGATATTATCACCTAAAGATCAAAAGAAGAAACCTCTGACATAAAAAAATACCTTATACTCTGCCAAGTCACGTTTTCAATGCTGCCTGAAAAACTTAAGCAACTCGGACATGGAAAAAAAAAACCAACCCAAAAAAGGTCAGAGAACAAAAAGCTGAAAGTTGAAGTTTTAGGTAAATGATCCGTACTATGTTCAGCGCATCCCTACTAAGGGCATGGGGGGAAAATAAACAATAAATGATGAAAAAGGGGTCACACTATTAGGAAGGGAAGGACAGCCCTCGGCTGTAGTTTCCAGCCTTCCTGCCGCTTTTAACCGGCAAGCGGAGACAGAAAGGAGCAACACAGGTGCACAGACACTGGAACGGGAATGGGGCTGTAGGCAGAGCTTCACCTCGGTAGCGCAGGCACCTACGTTCAAAAAAGGGCAGAAAGAAACGTGTATTTTTGTATTTCCTCTCAAATCACCAATTCAGGATCGACAGTTAGGTTTGTCATGCCTGTACGTAAAGATAACGGAGCCAAATTTTAGGTTGCAATTTAGTAAAGCGGTTGTTCCAGCCACCGAGTTAATTCACATCCACATACAACGGGGTTCAGCTTGGACTTTGAGTGCCTTGACAACGCTTTAACCAAGAATTTCCCTCAGAAAACGCCCGTTCCTGGCTGTATCCAGGGAAGTCGGCGCAGAGGCCGCCCGGGGGTGGCGGTGCAGCCCCCGCTCCCGCGTTCCCGGGTCCCCTCCGTTACCGGTCGTGGGCTCCCT